AGTCAGCACTATTATCTACATTCAATAGATGAGGAAATCAAAGTTCAGAGAGGCAACGTACCTTGTCATCATCCCAAAGTTAGGAAGAGGTGGGAATTCAGGATTCAAACGTAGGTCTCTCTGATTCCCAATCCCATGCTCTTGATCCCAAGGTTACTGCTACTTACAATATAATATCTGTAATGATCGGGGAGGGTGATACTGCAGTGGGGCTTCACCTAACTGCCGCAGGAGACTCAAGGAGCAAGGGATGAATCCAGATGAGGATGCCTTGGAGGAGGAGGCATCTGAGCTAAGCCTGGAAGGTAGAGGTAGAATATAGACACCTGAGCTAAACTTAAACTGCTATCCTAGTACTCCTAGTACTCAAGGGAAAATCTTGAACCAAGTTACAGAGGCGAGATTGTGTGGCATGTGATTTGTATTCAGCATTTCATCCTTCCTTCCATTTGGAACGTAATTACTGAGATCATGCTGATGGCGAGTTGATGGTAGTAGAAAGAATAGACATTTCTCACAATCTCTTTCCTGACTGGGTCCCCCACGAAGAGCCAATCAAAACTTTTATAGCCTCTTCTAGTGGTGGGAGTTGATGACTGTCCTGGTGACAATGGGGAAATACTAGACTGTTTCTCTTTAGTTCCGCCTTGGGAGAGGATGGTGGTAGCAGTCGTTGGCTTCTCTTTACATCCAGGCTCTGGTCCAAATCCCCCACCCTCAACGTATATAAAGGGAGACACGCAGCACCTCCACTTCCAAGGCCCTCTCCCAGTTTCAGCCTCCTCTATTCCAGGCATTAGACTTTTCTAGAAGTGCTGAAAAATAAAAATTACTGCATGATTACTTCAAAAACAAATAGCCCAGAACACTCGGCCCTTCAGAAGGGAGCTTTTTGGGGGGCTCACCCTGATTTCTCTGAAATCTAGCTCTAGCTAGATGACCTTATGGCTCAGAGATGGATAAGCAGGGTATTCTTCCCTATTATATTCTTCGTCATTTTATTCATGCCTACTTTTATCTGGAGTCCACAGACTAAAGGTTACTTTCTGAAGCAGAAGCTTTCAAATGACCCTAGTTCCAACATAAGCTTTCTTCAATTTAACTAGGAGCTCTTATAGCACTCAGTACATAGTTCTATAATTTTAAGTGACCATATTCAAATTTGAAGAAACCTAGGTAAAGTCATAGAAGATATTCTCTCCGGCTCTTAAAGTTCTTAAGGGGACTTTAGAAATTTTCTCCCCAAAGGTAGGAAAAGCAACAACCAAAAAGGTAACAGCCCATGGAAAAATGGACCCACCACATGACTATGACGATTACTGTCACAGATCCCATTGTACTACTACTTCCCGAGGATAAAATTCATGAAAGATGACGCTCAACCAACATAGTAAAAAGGTCATTAGGTAATCAAAAATTAAAACATGATACCACTACACATCTACTAAAAAGGCTAAAATCCAAAACACTAACACCAACAAATGTTGGCAAGGATTCAGAGCCATAGAACGCCGCAACAACAGTACAGCCACTTGGGAATACAGCCTTGCATTTTCTTCCAAAGATAAACGTAGGCTTATCATGCAATTCAGCAATTCCTTGGTATATACCCAAATGACTTGAACACATGTCTACACAAAAATTAACACACAAATGCTTACAAAAGCTTGACACTTTTCTGTATTCTAAAATATTTTTATTTAAATACAATGTGTACAAGAGGGTAGAAAAGGCCTCTTTCAAATAGATACAATGAATGTATTATCAGAATATTTTTATGGATTCTATTCCTGTTCTGGGGGGTGGGAGCAGACTGGGAGAAGTCAATGGGGAGGGGGGGGAGGGAAGGAAACATGTAATACTTTAAACAATAAAGAATTTTTTTAAAAATACTAATACAAATATAATGTTCTGTTTAAACTGAACAAAAAAGGTAAGCCCTTTAATGTTAAAAATCTATAGTTACCAAATAAAAGATAGTAAGGAATGTTTGGTTAAATTTACTTAATTACTTAAATTTAGTTGTATGTAAAATGAGCTAACAGCTCAATGGAAGCTCTTACCTATATACATAATTTTTTAAAATATATTTTTATTGATTTCAGAGAGGAAGGGAGAGGGAGAGAGAGATAGAAACATAAATGATGCGAATCACTGATAGTCTGCCTCCTGTACACCCCATACTGGGGATGTGCCCTTGACTGGAATCAAACCCGGGATCTTTCAGTCTGCAGGCCGACGCTCAATCCACTGAGCCAAACTGGTTAGGGCTCAATAAAACATTTTTTTTAAAAAACTATACTCAGTAAAAAAATAAAATATGCATTTAGTACTCAAATGGTTATATACAAAAGTGCCCAAGAAGAGAGTCACGATTAAAGTAAGAAAAATAACTTACATGATAACTAAAAGACAAAGATGCAGACATTGAGGCTCCTGACATTCTAACCACAGCATCTCCTGGCTTCCAGCTCACCTTGCTCCCATTCTCTCCTCTCCAGCTAAAAGTTATGCTCAAGGTATGGAGAACACGCCTTGCATCTCTCCTCTCTGCTCCTTCACTTGGTTTAGGTCTTCTCTGGCAACATACTCTCTTCTCCATTTCAACCTGCCAAAACGCTACTAACCTCTCAAGGTTTAGTTCAACCTTTCCAACATAACTCCTTAATAGTGTGGTATAATAGTAATAACAATGATAAGCAGCCATAAACACTCTCTCGTTGGGTATGATCATAAAGGCTCTCTCATCCCTCCTCAGAACAGTTCTGTGAAGTAGGCAAGGCCTTCATCCTCCTGTTTTGTCAGCCTATGCCTGGAATCACAATCCCTCTTTCCTCCTCCCCATTCCCCTTGCAAATGAGCAAAACACACCAGCAAGCACATAGCATCCCTCTCTTTGGCTCTGGGAATTGACTGATGGAGGGTATTAATAAAAACAATGTCATCAAAGGCAAATAAGAAAAGCGACAAAAGTAAAGAAACAGACAACACAGCATAACTTAATCAGTGACTGCTTAGTCCTGGCCAATGTGGCTCAGTTGATTGGAGCATTGACCTGTACACCAAAAGGTGGTGGGTTAGATTCCTGGTCAGGGCACGTACCCAGGTTGCAGGTTCCATGAGACCACTGATCAATGTTTCAATGTTCTCTCTCTCTATCTCTCTCTATATATATCTCTCTCTTTCTGTGTGCACGCGTATGTGTGTGTGTGTGTGTGTGTATGTGTGTGTGTGTCCCTTCCTGTCTCTGGAATCCATTAAATAAATAAATAAATAAATAAAGACAAACAAACAAACAATTGTTTTAAAAAGAGGGAAGGAAAGAGAAGATGCTGATTTGCCTTGCTCTGTATTCACCATGTCAGGCAGACGGGGTAAGGCCAGCTATGTGGTCATGCCACCTCTACGGGAGAGGATGGGGCTGGAAGGGGAAGGTAATGACCCCCACAAACTGCAGAGAGGAGCGCTTTACTTTAATTAAGTAATTTACTGACTGATTTTTAGGGAGAGAGCTAGAAACAACGATTTGTTGGTCCACCCATTTATACATTCATTGGTTGATTCCTGTATGTGCCCTGACCAGGGAAGGACCCAGCAACGTTGGCGTATCAGGATGAAGCTTCAACCAACGGAGCTAACCACCGGGGCCACAAACACTTCAATGCTTATCTCTGTGGGTTTTGTTTTTTTGAATCTCTCTCTCTATGGCTTTTTTTTCCTTTTGTTTTTTGTGTTTTTGTTTTCTTTAAGGTGTGCACTTTGTTGAACTGGTCTCAAGTCAGTGCCCAGGTAAGCCCTGCTTGGCTACCTCCACACCTCAACCCACTCCCAGGGGGACCAAAAGCCTTCATACATCTCAAGTTGGGGACAAGAAGGGGGACCACGATGGCTGGCCATTCAAAATAAAACAAAAAGAACAGGTATTAAGGGGAAGATTTAAAATTTAGATTACATAATGTACACAAAAGCAATGCTCCCACCCTCCCTGTGTGGACTCGGGGAGGACTGGCCCTTCTTAAGGAGAAGTGGGCGGCTCTGGGGCAGGCAAGGGACTTCCTGTAACAATGCACCTCTCCTATTTGGAATGACTATTTAAAAGAAGAACAACATACAATCAAAGTCCTCAGCCACATTGTAGAACTTTGGGGGTGCTCGCTCCAGCAGGCTGCTGTCACCCTCACCGTGCCAGTTTTTAAATCCTGAGTCAAGCGCCCCCCCCTCCTGCCCAAATCAAACAAACAAACAGTCCGCCTAGAAGCATTTGCATGGACGTGGACGATGGAGGGGCCGGACTCCTCATACCCCTGCTTGGTGCTCCACATCGGCTGGAAGGTGGACGGCGAGGCCAGGATGGAGGCTTGCACTCCGGGCGCAATGGTCTTGGTCTTCATCGTGCAGGTCGTGAGCCAGAGTGGTGATCTCCTTCTGCATCCTGTCGGCGGTGCCCGGTGCGCGGTGGTCCCACCAGGCAGCACCGTGTGGCAGCGGCACCGCTCGTTGCACATGGCGATGGCCTCCCCGCCTGGCAGCTCGCAGCTCTTCTCCAGGGAGGAGCTGGAGGCCGCGGGATATCTCCTGCTCCAAGTCCAGGGCCACGCAGCACAGCTGCTCCTGGATGTTGCGCACCATCTCCCGCTGGGCGGTGGTGGTGAAGCTGTAGCCACGCTCCGTGAGCACCTTCATGAGGTAGCCCGCCGGTCCAGATGCAGGATGTGGGTGACCCCATCCCCGGAGTCCATCAAGATGCCAGTGGCACGGCCTGGATGGCCACGCACATGGCGCATGTGTTGAGGTCTCCAACATGATCTGGGTCATCTTCTCACGGTTGGCCTTGGGGTTCAGACGGGCCTTGGTGAGCAGAACAGGGCGCTCCTCGGGGCCCACATGCCCCCCATCCCCCACCCCCGCAGCTTGTTGTAGAAAGTGTGATGCCAGATCTTCTCCCTGTCATCCCAGTGGGTGACGATGCCGTGCCCAATGGGGTATTTCAGGGTCAGGGTGCCTCTCTTGCTCTGGGCCTCATCACCCACATAGGAGTTCTTCTGGCCCATGCCCACCATCAAGCCCTGGTGCCGGGGGCACCCCAGGATGGAGGAGACAGATGGCCCTGGGGGCATCCCCCCCAAAGCCGGCTCTGTGCAAGCCGGAGCCGGTGTGGTCCACATGCGCAGCAATATCGTCATCCATGGCGAGCAGGGCGGTGTGAGTAGAGGAAGGCTCTCTATGGAGAGAAACCAAGATGGCGCCATAGGTAAACACGGGAAATTGCTGGCTCGCACAACCACTTCAAAAATACAACTAAAACGGACATCATCCAGAACCACAGGAAGGCTGGCTGAGTGGAAATTCTACAACTAGAAGGAAAGAGAAAAGCACACTGAGACTCAGAGGAGGTGCGGAAGTAAAGTGCAGCGGTACGGAGGCACGCGGAAAGGGCTGGCAACTGAGGACAAGGCTGTCTTTTTCAATCGGGACGGAGTCTCAAGCTCCCGACTGCTCTGAACGCCAGTTTCCGGCGAGTCTCTGGGGACCCAGACACATATGGAGAGAAACTGGACTGGCATCGGCGGCTTTCTCTCAGAGATGCTTGCAGCGATCACTGGGACACTAAGACGCGGGGCCTCTTAGGGTAGGACTGAGGATCAGCCATAGCTGTTTGCTCTGCCCTGTTGATTCCCTGAGACCCCGCCCCACCCAAGCTGTGCTCAGAGGCTTTTGCATATGAATGACCTGGCCCTTTGCAATCTAAAATTACCTAACAAACTGCCACTGGGTCAGAGAGACCCAGAACTTCCAAAAGAAGGCCCAAGGCCCCACAGCAGCTTGCATTGCTTCATAGCTGGGCCTCATCTGGGCACCTCCAAACCCCAAACAAAGAAGAGGAATCTGCAGATCTCGCCATATCTCCTGCTGGGTAGCTTCAGGCAGAGGCTAAATTAGCACCTCCTTAGAGATCCAAGAGCCAGTGTACCCAGTGGTCAGAGTGGGACCATCCAGATTTCAACTCCTCAGATCCATAAGGGACACACTCAGTGGGCAGACTCAGTGAGCACCAAAGCCCCACTGAAGCAAGTCTTGCCCCAGAAGGGTGTCTCCAGCACAGAAGTTCTCCCACCATAGACACAGCTGATTCGCACAGCCAATTGGCCTGGAAGTCAATTCCTCCCAGTGATACCTACAACAATCAAGGCTTAACTACAACACTGTGCACAAGGCCCACAAAGGGGTGCACCAAGAGTGTCCACCTCAGGTAATTGGGGAGGCTGAGGCACTGGGCCCTATAGGACACCTAGCACACAAAGCCACTCTACCAACACAGGGAAGCATAAAATATGCGGAGACAAAGAAACAGGACACAAATGACAGAAATGGAGGAAAGCAAACAACTGGATATAGAGTTCAAAACCACAGTTATAAGGTTTTTCAAGAATTTTCTAGAAACTGCCGATAAATTTAGTGAGACCCTCAATAAATCTAGTGAGACCCTTGAGGATATGAAAAAGAACCAATTAGAAATTAAGCGTACACTGACTGAAATAAAAAATACTATACAGAGATCCAACAGCAGACTAGAGCAGTGATGGCGAACCTTTTGAGCTCGGCATGTCAGCACTTTGAAAAACCCTAACTCAACTCTGGTGCCGTGTCACATATAGAAATTTTTTGATATTTGCAACCATAGTAAAACAAATATTTATATTTTTGATATTTATTTTATATATTTAAATGCCATTTAACAAAGAAAAATCAACCAAAAAAATGAGTTCGCTTGTCACCTCTGACACGCGTGTCATAGGTTCGCCATCACTGGACTAGAGGATCGCAAGAATCAAGTCAAAGATTTGAAATACGAAGAAGCAAAAAACACCCAACTGGAAAAACAAAAAGAAAAAAGAATCCGAAAATATGAAGATAATGTAAGGAGCCTATGGGACAGCTTCAAGCGAACCAACATCTGAATTATAGGGGTGCCAGAAGAAGAGAGAGAGCAAGATATTGAAAACATATTTGAAAAAAGATGACAGAAAACTTCCCCTACCTGGTGAAAGAAATAGACTTACAAGTCCAAGAAGCACAGAGAACCCCAAACAAAAGGAATCCAAAGAGGACCACACCAAGACACATAATAATTAAAATGCCAAGAGCAAAAGACAAAAAAGAGAGAATCTTAAAAGCTGCAAGAGAAAAACAGTTAGTTACCTACAAGGGAGTACCCATATGACTGTGAGCTGATTTCTCAATAGAAACTATTCAGGCCAGAAGGGAGTGGCAAGAAATATTCAAAGTGATAAATTGCAAGAACCTACAACCAAGATTACTTTACCCAGCAAAGCTATCATTCAGAATTGAAGGTCAGATAAAGAGCTTCACAGATAAGCAAAAGCTAAAGGAGTTCATCACCACCAAACCAGTATTATATGAAATGCTGAAAGGTATCCTTTAAGAAGAGGAAGAAGAAGAAAAAGGTAAAGATAAAAATTATGAACAACAAATACGTATCTATCAACAAGTGAATTTAAAAATCAAGTGAATAAATAATCTGATGAACAGAATAAACTGGTGAATATAATTGAATCAGGGGCATAGAAAGGGAGTGGACTGACAATTCTCAGGGGGAAAGGGGTGTGGGGGTGCAGGAAGAGATTGGACAAAAATCGTACACCTATGGATGAGGACAGTGTGGGGATAAGGGCAGGGGGTGAGGTGGGAACCGGGTGGAGGGGAGTTATGGGGGGAAAAAAGAGGAACAACTGTAATAATCTGAACAATAAAGATTTAATTTTTAAAAAAAGGAAGGCTCTCTATGGCTTTTGATTGGTGCTTGACTTAATCGCTATCATGGAAAGCAACATAATCCTGAGATGCCCAATTCAGTTTCTAAATTCAACTCAGTTTTTAAGTTTCAAAGCTCTTTTCCTTCCCAACACTGACTGAGAAGCTGTTTCAGCAACAGCACCCAAGGTCTTCACCTCCAAGCTCTAGTCAAATACTCCTTCCTCTCCAACATACCTCTTGGGAGGGTCATTTCCACACTAGCCAGGGCTTCTTCGCCCACTTCATGAACATTCGCTTGAAAGCTACTCTCTGGCTAGTGATAGAGAGTGCAGGACTAAAGAAAGGTCTTTGGATTTTCTTTTAAAACTAGAGGCCCGGTGCACAAAATTTGTGCACTGGGGGTTGTCCCTCAGCCCAGCCTGCACCCTCTCCAATCTGGGACATCCCTCTCACAATCCAGGACTGCTGGCTCCTAATCGCTCGCCTGCCTGCCTGCCTGATTGCCCCTAAATGCTTCTGCCTGCCAACCTGATCACCCCCAAACTACTCTCCTGCCAGCCTGATTGACGCCTAACTGCTCCCCTGCCAGCCGGATTGCCCACAACTGCCCTCCCCTGTTGGCCATCTTATGGCTGTGGGCACCACCATCTTTAAGGGCATGGCAGTCAATTAGTATATTCCTTCCTTATTGGCTATGTGCGCCACCATCTTTGAGGGCGTGGCAGTCAATTAGCATATTCCCTCCTTATTGGCTGTGGGCACCGCCATCTTTGCAGTCTGCTTCTCAGTCGTTTGGTCGTCCCTCACTAACCCCCCTGCCAGCCTGGTTATCCATTTGGTTGCGATGGTCGCTTAGGCTTTTATATATATAGATGTGTTTTGATTATTGATTTCAGAGATAGAGAGATAGAAAGGTGGATTGGCTGCTTCCCACTGCCCCACACTAGGGATAAAGCCTGCAACCTAGGCATGTGCCCTGACTGGGAACCTAATTCTCAACTTCCTGTGCATGAGATGACACTCTACTAACTGAGCCATACCTGCTCAGCAGTCTTTGGCTTTTCATTTGCAAGAGAGAAAGAGTTTCTTTCTCAGTGTATGCTGCAGCAAGATGTGGTACTTCTCCTTATCAGGTACTCCGCGGTTCCAGTCATACATATTGCTATTCAGTTCAAGGTGGAGATCCACAAGTGGCCGACTTCTGGAGGGAAGGAGAAAAGCGAAAGTTAATGGCATGCAAACATCAAAGAGGAGACAGATTGTCAGTAGGGTGAAATGAGCCAACTGAATAGGGTAGTGAAGACCTGGGGTGGGGAGGGAGTAGGAACTGGGGCGAGGGGGGGGGAGGGGAGATAACTGTAATATTATCAGCAATAAAAATATTTTTAAATATAATATATTTTTACTAGTGGCCTGGTGCACGAAATTGTGCACATTGAAAGGGAATTAATTAGAGGAATGTGATTTGGACTCACTATCTAATATCAATAATATGTAAACGTGAGGCAGTCCGCGTTTCTGAAATTCAATGACATGAATTTTAGCTATTACTTTGCCAAATAAATGGAATTTACAGATATCATTTAAAAGAGCATTCAGCTTGCCCTAACAGGTTTGGCTCAGTGAATAGAGCGTCGACCTGCAGACTAAAGGGTCCCAGGTTCGATTCCGGTCAAGGGCATGTACTTGGTTGTGGGCACATCTCTAGTGGGGGGTGTACAGGAGGCAGCTGAATTGATGTTTCTCTCTCATCGATGTTTCTTACTCTCTGTCCCTCTCCCTTCCTCTCTGTAAAAAATCAATAAAATATATATTTTTTAAAAAGAGCATTCAGCTTAATATTAAGAACTCTGGCTCCAAGTCAGGTCTGTTTTCAACTTTTTGTCAGCGTTGTAAATTGTTTGCAGTATCTGCCCATTTGGGGTTGCATGTCATGGCTATGAATAAATCGGGCTTGCCATACCTCGTTACAATTGCCATAGCATCCTGATATCACTGCTGCATATTTCTGAGACTACGTCAAAGGATGATGGAAGTATTATCATTTTACCAATTGGCACATGGTCATTTTCAGATCTAGATTTGAGATAATCCATCAAACCACTATATTTTTCAACTCTCAACTTAGATTGGTTTGCTTTGATGAAATTTATCCGATTGGCCTCCATTTTTTAATATGAATCCACAATAAACTGTTGAGTTAATTTTCCTGGATTTAAAATAGGATTGAATGTGCCCTACACAGAGACATAAAATCCATAATACTGCATTTGTGTGGCTTGTGTCCTTACATTTTGTCTAGTATTATTGTCGATTACACTGTTGTCTCTGAGTCTTAATGCAATATCTGCTCCCCAGCCTTTTTCACCATGTGGAAAAAGAATAGGATATGTCATTGCATCTAATGTAGGAAACAGGATATTGATTTGTTTCATTTTAGTGGCATTTGGATTATTGGGATCTGGTTTACAATGAATGAGCAAGTTCCTTTCAAAAGGAGGTTCTCCATCTTCGTTCCTGAATATGACAGCAACCTCGGTTACACGGGGAGAATTATATCTACCTGGGTCACCGTTACGATTGTATTTAATTGCCATTGTTACTTCTGTGGGAGCAACACCTTTTGCTGCTGCTTCAGATTGGGCTTCCTTTTCTACCTCATGTAGCATCTTGTACGATTTTGTTAATTCATTTATTTCATGCATGAGGTTGTAGATGTTGATCATGAGTCTTTCTGAGCAGCCCTGGTTTTCTGGCATTGCTAATCTTTTACTTGTAGCTTCGGCTGTATCCAAAATATAGAGTTGAGCAAACTTCCAAGAAACACCATCCGAAGGATGTAAAGTTCCAGTACGGTGATAAACTTGTCCGTGTATCCTAAAACAGTATGGCCCATATCCTGATGGCGATGCAATATTTGCACCCATGGAAGCAAAAGCAAAAGAACTATTTATGGAGCGAATATTTTCCATGAAATTTTTACTGTCAGAATCTCCGTTTGTCATTAATCTTTTTAAATATGCCGGGTAATCTGGAAAATGTATATTATTTGGACAGACTTTCCCTTTGCTACAACATTGAATAAATTTCCCATCGGCTGGTTTTTCATCAGAGAAATTTAGTGATAGGCAAAATTCACATCGAACAGTCATTCCACCACAACTATGTTCGAGAATTGCATCCTCATGTACTCCATTTTTGCTGAAAAGGCAGTTCCTACCAGTATTGGTAGTACTTGTTGATGACTGTTCTCTAGACATATTCTGTTGTCGTCACCACCTTCTTTCAACTTCAAAGGCACATTGGTCTTTAGACATTTTCTGTCGTTAATGCCGGTGTTTTTCGGCATCAGAGCAACGTTTTTCCAGTAGCGGTGTTCAGATACATCCTGTCACAGGCACCGCCTTCTTTCGAGATCAGACACATGCTGCTCTGCAGACACTGTCTGTCGACAACACCGGCATCTTTTGGCTGCAGAGCTACGTTGTATCAACAGTTGTTCTTTAGACATAGTTCCACCTCTCTACTGTCACGGTCTGAGATGCAGGTGAATGAGAGTCCTGGCTGTCAGGCCACTGAGAGCTGTCTGACCAACGGCTGATTCCGGCTGATTCTGTGGGGGTGGGACTTCCTCCTCCCTGCTGTCAGTTTCCACAGCTGTGATGAGGAAGCTGGGGTGACAGAGGGAGCCACACACTCCATGCCACCCTCTCTCTAGCTCTGCTCTATGTCCAGTGGTCTCCTGTTCTGCCAAGTCCTCCAAACCTCCCGCTCTCTGCTCGCTCTTCCTCTCTGCTCTCCGTCGGCAAGGTCCCGGGAGCCCTCGCTTCCTGGGCCGGCAATGGCTGCCGTTGCCTCCTGGGGTGCTTGACACCTGCATATGCAAATTAAACGCCATCTTCGTCAGGTTAATTTGCATAATCACTCTGATTGGCTGGTGAGCGTAGCGGAGGGATGGTTAATTTGCATGTTTCTCTTTTATGATATAGGATTGATTCCAGAGAGGAAGGGAGATGGAGAGAGAAATAGAAACATCAATGATGAGAATCATTGATCAGCTGCTTCCTGCATGCCCTCCCACTGGGGATCAAGCCTGCAACCTGGGCATGTGCTGTGACCGGGAACCGAACCATGACCTCCTGGTTCATAGGTAGATGCTCAACTGCTGAGCCATGCTGGTCAGGCTAAAAAATATTTTTAAAATGAGCCAACTGATGGGAAAGTGCTCTTTTCTAAATACTTTACAAGCTGCTTAGTGAGTGATTCAAACCAGTGGGCAGCACTCTGGCACGTGACTTCAGTCCCCTTCACCAAGGGGCAACTGAATCAAACAATGACCCACTTGGACTGTCTGTGTACATGCAGGATGCATGTAAAAGCTAGTAATGCCGCTGGCACCCTGAGTGTCCACCTTGGAACACAGAGTCACCCCTGCTCTGCGCACCCATTAGTGCTGAACCACCACTGAGCAGGTGGGGGCTGCAGGACAGATCTAGCGCTCTGGGATCAGCCAGGGCCTGGGCGGCTCACCTCTCCTGCTGCAGCTTCTGGGAGAGGCACTGTAGGTACCGGGACGATAAGGTGGGGCACCGGTCCAGCAGAGATGCATCTGCCTTGCACAGGCTCCAGAAGAAGTCCGCTTCTGGGTGAACCGTGCAGGGCTCAGGCTGCCAGGCCTTGGCATCCATGTTGCTCGCTGCTAGCCCGTCGACCTCTGGGAGGCTGCTGTCTTCCGTGTGACTCTCTGACTTCTCGTAGTTCTGAATAAAAAAGAGCTTTGGCTTTCCCAAGAGAGAAGGGCATGCATCTCCCCTGAACATCCTCCTGATCTGATCCAAAGACAGCCCTGAGTGAGTCCGATCCACACCAAACAGGCTCTGCGAGCCCCCTCGGCTCACCAGGACGCACACAAAGCTGTCCTTGTCTTGGTGGTGAGTCCAATAGGCAACTTGTTTAAGATGATCAGTCATAAGGTCCATCGTCAGGAATGAGAAACACCGGACTTCAAAGCCCAGGGAAGTGAAGGTGTGCTGAAGAACGTCTGGGGAAAAGAAACAGGCAGGTCACAGGAATGGATACATTACAGGGCTCAGCTCCAAACAGCTGCAGAAAGGGTGGTGCAGGTCTCGATCCCCTCACCTCCACCCAGTCGCTGGGGGATGACATGAAGCCCCTAGGATGTAAGTGGTGACCATTTCCAGACTCTCCAGGTCCCCTCCTGACCTGCTTCCCAGTGTGACCTCTGACTGAGCAGTGGAAACCCTGGGCCAAGACTCCCTACAGTGTCCTCAGAGTCCTCTCCTAGCTTGCAGAAATCCTGATTGACCCTGGCTCCAGACGTAGAGGAAGGAAGTAGGAAAAGCCGAGGTCGAGTGTGCTGACCTTGCCACACCTGTGGGCGGCATGCTCTTTGGCAAATGGGTCTTCCCAGCTTTCAACGGAAGTGATGAGGCCCACCCTCTGAGAATGCTGCGAGGATTACATGAGATAATACAAATAAAGCTCCTGGTGCTCCACAGAAATTAGTTCCTATTCTCTTTTTAAAAATCTTTTTGTCTAGCCGAAACCGGTTTGGCTCAGTGGATAGAGCGTCGGCCTGCGGACTGAAAGGTCCCAGGTTCGATTCCGGTTGAGGGCATGTACCTGGGTTGCGGGCACATCCCCAGTAGGAGATGTGCAGAAGGCGGCTGATCGATGTTTCTCTCTCATCGATGTTTCTAACTCTCTATCTCTCTCCCTTCCTCTCTGTAAAATATCAATAAAATATATAAAAAAGAAAAGAAATGAAAAGACTACAAGTTTAAAAAAAAAAAAAAAAAAAATCTTTTTGTCCATATTCCAGAAATTTCTATGGCCTTGGAACCCTAGACAATCTACCCAGTCCACTTCTTCTCCATCTGATCAGTTTACCTTCACTGGAGACATAAACACAGGCTCCTGAATTGTTTTATCTTTCTAATAGCAAAGAGAGACATCTTTTTCTTCCTTGCTCAAAACTTCCACAGTCTTTTTTTTAATTTTTTTTTTTTTTATTATTGATCTCAGAGAGGAGAGGGAGAGAGAGATAAAAACATCAATGATGAGAGAGAATCATTGATTGGCTGCCTCCTGCATGCCCCCCACTGGGGACTGAGTCTGCAACCGGGGCATGTGCCCTGACCAGGAATCAAACCATGACCTCTTGGTTCCTAGGTCAACACTCAACCACTGAGCCATGCCGGCCAGGCAATTCCACAGTCTTTTGAGCCACCCATTAAGTTTCTGTTTCTTGTTTGAGTGATGTCTCCAGTTTTTAGTTCATCTGTGGGGCAGAGAACTGCCTGTCCCAAGCCCAGAGGCTAAACAAACATCTCCTCATTCAGGTTGTCACCCAAACTATTAGCCCATGAGCTCCTCTGGGTTTGTTTCCGTGTCTCTTGGCTGGGTGCCCACCTCTCTTCTTCGCCTGGGGAATGGTCTTCTGGGAGCCTACACTGCATTCAGTCCAAACCAAACAACACAACAATAAAGGCCAGTAATGCCTCCCACCAAGGAACAGAGGGGTCCCATCTTCTGCTGGTTTAGGCATCACAGAAAAGCATCAAGGGAGATACATAACCGAAGGCACCACAAAACTGTTGACAGATTCCCAACTCTCGACACCAAATGGGAACGATGTGCAGTCTGGAGAGTCCCAAATAATTCAAAGGCCCACGGCTGCAACCACTCGTTTCACTTCCTTGCCCTGCAAACTTCACCGAGCACTAGGGACGTATAAAAGTGAAAGTAAGCAACCGCAATTTCTCTTCTGTCTTCTCAGCAGGAAATAGGAAAAAGACAAAAGGTGGGGCAAGAAACACTGCCTTGGGTCAACAAAAAGCTGGAATAACAGCCACTGGACAAGCCAGGGCCTGTGTGCTCCGAACTTGATCCACGCAGCTGTGAGCAGCGTCTACACACGTTCGCCACGGGGCTGGTAGAACTTCCCCCCAGGAGAGCTGCGTTTCGCTGTGGCCCCACACCCTACCAGACACGGCCATTTTAAACAACTCCACAAATCTTTGGTACTCCTCCCTTAAAAAGACACAGAGTCATCTGCTCCCCTTGAAATGTGGACCACACTTGGTAACTGGTCTTTACTAGTAATGGCTGGAATGTGGCAGAAGGGAAACTGTGGCTTCCCAAGCTGGATCCCAAAAAGGCCATGGCTTCCACCTGGCTCTCTCTCGCTTCTGAACTGCTCACTCTCGTGGCAGCCAGCTGCCATGTCCTGAGAGCTCTCAAGCAGAGGCAGGGGGAGGCCCGCAGGAGGAGCGAAGGCCTTGCACCCACTCCCCAGCCACGTGGGTGAGCCCCCTGAGAAGGTCCTGGGATCCCACGCCTCCCTGGCTGACCTCTGACCCTCCCTCCTGAGGGACCCTGGGCCAGAACAGCCAGCGAAGCAGCTCTTAACCCCCTTCTCACAGAAGTTTGTTCTTCTAAGCCTCTATGTTTTGGAGTGATTTGCACACATTCTCAGATAAATAATTCATCAGCTAAGTCCTCTTCTCTCCTGCCAGGAAAAGGAAAAGGCTATAACCATGACTTAAGACTACTTCCTTTTCTCCTCTGCCCTAGCCCACAGGTAAGGTGAGAAAGTGAATTTTATCTATCACATAATAATGAAGGGATATAAAGAAGGTGCCCATCTCCTTAAAACCCTATGAGAAATAAGCATTAGCAGGGAAACGAAGGGCATGATACACAGGGGGCTGACATCCTATTAAATAGCTCGCTTGTCCTCACAGAGTCTGTGTAGCAGAGGCGGCTAGCCCTGCGCCCTGGCCCTCGCCTGTGGGATGGGCAAGGCTCCCGCCCCAGCACGGCGCTCAGGCTGGAACTGGAAGTGTCCCCCGAGAAAGCCTGACTAGGTCCCCAGTTCCATCCCCAGTTGTATTCCAAACGGTTCCTTTCTCTGCAAAGGGAGTCCTCTCCCCTCTAGGGGGCAGGAGCAAACGGGGAAACAGCCGTCTCAACACTGTTTACTTGTTAGCTCAGAGAGATGATTCACTTCTTCCCAGACCCTCCCTTCCGGAGAAATTCCCTCCTTTATCAAAGTCCTGGGAAGGAAGCCACAGTCTCGCCCTAGCTGATGTGGGCTCAGTGGATAGAGCGTCGCCCCAGGACTGAAGGGTCTGGTATGTACCTTGGTTGCAGCCTTGATCCGGGAGGCTCTCTCTCATATCAATCAATGTTTCTCTCTCTGACTCTCCCCCTCCCTTCCACTCTCTCTAAATAAATGGGAAAATATCCTCAGGTGAGATGAACAACAACATCAGAAAGCCTTAGTTTCTTTCCATGCTGATATGCAGGGGTACGGTCAGAACAGCTATCTGGTGCCTTTATTGGGCTCCTGTGGGTTCCTGCTAAGACAGCAGCTGCCACATGACTGTGAGCAGGCAGCTGCATGGTACAGGGCAAAAGAGGAACCAGTCTTGGAATCACAAGGTCTGAGTGTAAGTCCCGCTCCCCATCTACCTGCTGGACCTGGGCTTTGCCTAGTCCTGAAAGAGGACTGACTTACCCAGCAGCGGGGCTAAGAGAGGGGTGGGGGCCCGAGGTCAGGGCAGGGGGTCCTTACCTAATAGAACCAGAGAAAAACGGCTAAAGATGGAGGGGAAGCCAAAAACCACACAGGTCCCCAAAGCCGAGAACCGGACAATAAGAACAGCAAGTCTGGATGGGCCTCAGACCACGGAGCATCCTTTAAACATCCCTCTGGAAAGGCGGTCACTCGGAGACCAGCCTGCGGTCATGGCCGTAAAGTCACATCTCTCCTCTACCAGAGGGCGAGGTGGCACGATGTCAGCTGGAAACTGCAACGTTGTTGGGCCAGCAAGAACACGGAGACAGCCCAGTCTCACGTAGAGGATCAAGGGGGTGGTAACAGTGTGACTCTGAACAAGTTACAGCCTTAGTTTACTCATCTGTAAAATGGGATTAGCACTGATGCCTAGACTATTAGTATGTGCTTCAAAAGGGAGCAGTGGGGATCCGAGGAGGTTTCTGCCAAGATGCTTTGGACACTGTGCGTGCTTATGTATATAAGGTAGTAAATTTAAAGAAAATCAAGGCAGGCACTTCCAGTCACAAAGCACGAGCCTGCGGGTGCCTCTCTCTCATGGAATCTGCCTCCTTAGCACCCAGAGAAAGGTCTCCACCTCTGAAACTAAAATGGGCTCAGAGTAGTCAGGTTCTGTGTCCTCACATGGCACCGTGACTGCCTGCTCCTTTCCCGCAAATAGGGGAAGAACAACTTGGGGGCCGAGTGCAAAACAAACTTCAACAAACTGCAGTTCCACATTCAAAATGCCCTGGAAATTCCACTCCTGACCCGGCACTATCTTTGTAAACTTGAATTGTTCTTCAGAAACCAAATTCCGGGGGGTGGGGGGGGGGGGTTTCCTTCCGGCCACGCGGTTAGAGCGTGGCTCTTGGTGAGCCGCCAGCCCCGCCCGCAAAGCACCCCCACCGCCTGCCTCTGGCTTTCTCATCTCCTGCTGCTCTGCTGAAAGAGCATGTTTACTTATTCAAGATCACAAGGGAAGCAGCAGCTGCTAGAAAAATCGCAGTCTCCGCCTGGTTAAAAAGTACAGGGACATCTTCCAGCTTTTCAGGAGCAGGGAGAAAAGAGAGAGGGCGAAACACTTCTTAACGTCTTTTCTTCAGGAGCCTACACACCAACCAGAGCAGTGGTTCTCAACCTTCCTAATGCCACGACCCTTTAATACAGTTCCTCATGTTGTGGTGACCCCCAACCATAGAATGATTTTCGTTGCTACCTCATAGCTGTTATTTTGCTACTGTTATGAATCGTAATGTAAATATCTGATATGCAGGGAGTATTTTCAGGGGTCGGGACCCACAGGTTGAGAACCGCTGAACCAGGGTTGTAGATCGAGGCCCTGAGTTCACCTGTCTGTGACCTGATTCATTCCCTTCTCCACTCCGCAAAGCAGGGCCTGGCATAGCCCAGCTCTGCAGGGTCACTGACACAGACGACACAACTCCACGACCGGCTTTTTAATTCTATCAAACGGGGACAATTAGCCCCAAATCCCTAGGCCTCCGTGTCTGCTCCAAGGAGAGGTTACTGTTCTCTGTGAGGATGCATCTCAAGAACAAGCCACCGAAACAATCACCTTATCGTCGTTCACAGCACGGCTCTGAGACCAGACTGCACCTCATTGCCTCCATTTTTGCTTCACACAGGACCAAGCATGGGGCTTTGCATAGAGGAGTTGCTCAATAAACATGTGTGGGATAAAGGAAGAATAAACCTATAAATGTTTGGGGGACTTATACTCTCTGGGTAAAAATCTTTTTTTTCTTTTTTTGAGGACCGAAGATAGGTAGGTATAAAAGCGTCTGCTAAATTCTGCAGTACAAATAAATGGTTTTAGAATCATGCTGAGATTAGAAGAGCATATTCCTTCATTCACCCGCCAAATATTTATTGGGCTCCAATGTGCCAGGTGCTGTTCCAGGTATTGGAGACACAGTAAAAGGGATGGACAAGTCCCCCCCCCCCACACACACACACACACACACACGGAACTTCCATTATAGCAAAGGAGCCAAGAGCAGAGGCTGTGGAGTCAAGCTTTCAAATTCCAGAGAAGTTAGGAAGGGAGTTGACCGTGTTCTGCTTGCTCACCTTGAAAATGGGGACAATAGTACAGACCTTACAGTATTATTTACGAAGATTAAGTGAGAATCCATGTGAAGGAATTAGCACATAGTCGAGTTTAAATCCATTTTCCACTCTGATCACCACCCCTCTCAAGTTAGTCATCATATGACTGTTCGTCTCTTTCAGATCCCTTGTCTCAGTTGGCAATAATGTTTCTTACCAGACTCCTACACTCTTCCCAAATGTCCAACATTAACCACATGACAAAGTTAACCAGGCAAGAGACAAAGGAAACCGCAGGCATCCTTCTAGATGAAGCCCCCAGGCTGTTCAGATGGAAATGAACACATGAGGGGTGCTCTGCGTAATTAAGACCACTGCTAGTCAAAGCAGGATTGATTCCAGGCCTCAGTGAAAATCTCCAGGAGGGCAGCTGGCAAGTGAAGGGCTGGAGGCCTAGGAAGAAGGTGAGAAGAGACCGTGCCTTCCACTCGTTTTACTTTGTTTTATTTTTTTAATATATTTTGTTGATTTTTTTACAGAGAGGAAGAAAGAGGGATAGAGAATTAGAAACATCAATGAGAGAGAAACATCAACCAGCTGCCTCCTGCACACCCCCTATTGGGGATGTACCTACAACCAAGGTACATACCCTTGACCGGAATCGAACCTGGGACCCTTCAGTCCGCAAGCAGATGCTCTATCCACTGAGCCAAAGCAGTCAGGGCCCGCTCGTTTTAATCAACACTCTGCAGGGGTTCTGAGTCTCAGCTGGGCTTACGATGGATAAACCCTCAGCGGATAAACCCACAGCACAACAGACAGCACAACAGGAGTAGAGTGTGCTGTCTTGTTGCTTAGCTGTTCATTGGACACCTGAGCCCAGGAGGGGTTTGTAAAAGAGGCCTCAAGCCCTGTTATTTGTTTTGCTCCCAGAGGCAGGGAGGGCTTGAGTCAAGGAAGCAGACATACAAATGCACCAGAGGCCAATACCTACTTCTACCTCAGACCAAAGACACAGGTGCCCCGGGCTCCACCCCCACTTCTACCCTCCTTCCCATCCTCTCCAATCAGGTCTTTCTCCTCCCTCATCCGCCCTGGGCCCTGGCCTTGGACTCAGATTCTCTGTCTCGGCCAAGCCCGTTCACACTGATGACTGGTAGGAGTGGTCTGGCTAGCTTTCCACCTGGGTGTTTCCTCAGAAGTTTCGGCCTCTCAAGTTACCCCTCCATCCCACCCAGCTCCAGCCTGTGGGGACCTGCCCCACTCAGCCGGGCCCAGTGCAGGCCTCAGCCCCCAGTTCTCTAGGCCCTCACTCGTCTGGGATCAGACTCCTTGTACCACACACAAAGCCATGCAAGTTCTAGCTTAGTGGTGTGCAACCAAAGTTAAACAAACGAATTGGGAAAAGAATGTTAGCTGGCATCAGTACCTGCTTACAGTGGACCAGGCACCACTCTAAGCCCAATCTTCCTGGGAGGTAGGTCCTGTTACTAATCCATTGTACGAATAGAAACTGAGACATAGAGAGGAAAATTGCCCAAGGTCACAAGCTAGCACATGGCAGAGCCATCATTCACACCCATGCAGCAGTCATATTCCAGAGCCCAACTCTGACCACACTCCTGAAAGGCAGAAATACACAAGTACACATTCAGTCCCTGCCGGCAAGAGGCCCATAACCCAGCACGGGAAGCAAGCACAGACAATGGGTTTTAGCCACAAATTCACAGCAGAACATGGCTTTATCTGTGTAATTCTCTTTATGCCACAGATGTACATCCCGTGCCATGTGCGTCTGGGAACTCAAAGGAATGAAACAGAACTGATTAAAATGGAAAGCAAAAGATAGCTACACCGTCTCTTTTAAAGCAGAAGTTGCTCATTGAGAAAATATCTGCTCCTCTTATGCGGGTACTAATGGCTACAAAAGGAAGGACATTCACTTATACCGAGAAACCAGCATTTCTCACATCTAACCAAAAATAGGACGTGAGAAAGAGAGATCACATCAGAAATCCTGGGACATCCAGCTTAAGGTTTGCTAATTTGATCTTCTGTCAGATTCTCTGCCCATACATCTCTCCATGCTAACATTTTATGTGAGCCTAAAAGCTAGCTCTGGTTCATTCTGAGAGAATGTTGGAAAGCCGGAAGGAAACTGGGGAGACAGGACGACCAATCCTTTTAAGGAAGAGATAGGGAATTAAACATAATGTTATTCCACTTAACTAGCTTTTTCTCATTCTCTTTAGATGCATCACCAGTGACTGATGTCATTTGAGTCACCACAATTAGACAAAAGAATCAACCCAGATCCAGACAATGGTGGCACACACATAGCTCAGACTGAGGGCAACACCCACAGTGCAGAACTAAGTGACTTAACACACTGCCTCTGAGAGAACACACTTATCATATTTTTAATGTTCCCCAGAAAAACGTTCACGGTCTCTCTGGGTGAAATGATGAGGCATCTGGTAATACTGAAACCCAGAAAGCCTTCCATTCCACCACCCTCCCCGGTCCGGGACTCCTCTCTGCCACAGCATCCAGCATGGGAAGACAGGGCTAAAGCTCAGCAACTTGCACAAACTACGCCTTTGTGCCGGACAACATGCTCTGTGTTCCCCAAATCCCCTTTCAGTTTCCTCCTGACACACAGTTAGACTGAGTCCCTTGTCTACTGGGGTTGGGTGAAGCCATACAAGTGAGTTCTGCCCAGTGAATGTGGGTGGAAATGATGCAGACCATCTGGCTGCTGTGTCTCGATGATTCAGCATCGACCTATGAACCAGAAGGTCACATGCCTGGGTTGCAGGCTTGATCCCCAGTGTGGAGGGATGGGGGAGGAGGCCGATGATTCTCTCTCATCATCGATGTTTCTTTCTACCCCTCTCTCTTCCTCTCTCTCCAAAATCAATAAAAACATATTTTTAAGAAATTAGGCATACCACTCTGAGAGGCCTGGTCCCCAAACGCATGTGGGATCATGCACTCCCTTCATCCACCAGCCAGACAGAGAGGTTCCTGTGGGGAACTCCAGGGCCTCTGAAGATGGAGTCACTAAATAACCACACGGAACCCTAGCCCAGCGGTTTTCAACCCTTTCCATCTCATGGCACACATAGACCAATGACTAAAATTCTGCGGCACACCAAAGAACTGTTTTTGCTGATCTGACCAAAAAAAAAAAGAGGTATAATTTTTTAGCTTTGTTGTGTTAGCTGTTCTCATGTTTTTATCTGACAATCTAAGGGAAAAGAGGTCAGTGCCCCTGGCTAAATATAGTCAGGTATGGCATGTTGTAAACATCCTTGCAGCGCACCACTTGAAAATTCGCTGCCTTAGCCCTCCCAGTCCACACTGGACTGTGACCTGAAAGGGGAACTCCCCTTCATGCAGAGGTGGGCAGTGGTTTGTGAGAGCCGCGAGTGCTCCTCAGGCGGCGGGTGTAGCCTGCCTGTGCCGTGGTCTCACTCTGGAGGCAGCCGTTACCCTGCAGCACCCACACCTACCTGTGTCGTTGCCGATGCAATCAAGTATCAGGCAGATTCCCAAGGGCTTGCTCTGCATCCTGTACCTGTCCTCTGGGATGGGCTGGAAAACAAAGCAGGGCTTGTTAAAGACTCTGGCACCGCTGTTTCCGCAAGGTCTCCCCTGTGTGCCAACTTTCCTTCTGGATTTTCTTAAACAGCCCTTGGGCAGGGAAGTCAGTCAACAGACAGAGCCTGAAGTCGTCACAGTTGACATTTCCATTTAATATCAAATGGTTCCTCTATTCAGGGAATGTGCTCCAGACAACAAGCTATTTCTGTTTTTATTTCATTTTAAGGAGAATCGTAGTCTCTTTACACGTGTCCTAGCTTTGCAGGAGAAACATCATTTGAAACAGAGAGAAAAGATGGGTCACATATTTCTCAGGAACCTCAGTTTGTACAAGTGATATCATTCCAAACGAGTACAAAAGGCGACCCCCTATTGCCTCTCCTTACAGAGGTTATCAGCCCAAGAAAAAGCAAGTCAAGGCTCAGTGTCTGGGCTTCCTGGTACACTCAGGAATTACTCAGCCCTTGGAATTTCCCTGCATTCCAAAGTTCACAAACACAATCCACTCCAGCATCTTTCTCTGAGCTATGTCCACGGTTCCCCTTCAGAAGAATTCTCAGGAGAATGACACTCTCAGAATCCTATCACTGTCACTAGAAATTCTTAATGGACAGATATTTTTAAAGAAGCCAGTGTTCTCCACAGAGCGTGTGTGTGCGGTGCAATCCTAAATGAGAAAATGGATTCTGTACCCGAGGCAGGAATGCTCCTGATTCTTGAACGGACGTCTTCACTGGTTCTCCTGCAGGATGAGAGGGAAATCACTTAAAAGCTGAAGGAGATTTAGCCCACTCCATGCTAGCTGCGTTTCTTCATATCACAAGTGTCTCTTCCCCTATTTCTTTCCCCCACTATCGCTTCTCTCCTCAGCCATACTCAGCCCCAAAGTTCCGACCTTGCCCTGTAAAACCTAACCGATGTGCCCGGCCAGCATGGCTCAGCAGTTGAGCATCGACCCAGAAAACCAAGAGGTCACTGGTTCAATTCCAGGTCAGGGCACATGTCTAAATTTCTGGCTCAATCCCCAGTAGCAGCCCATTGATGATGTTCCTCTCTCATCGATGTTTCTCTCTCCCTCTCCCTTCCTCTAACTGTAAAAATCAATAAAAACACATTTTTAAAAAAGAAAACCTAACTGATAAGGTAACCCAAGTTTCTGTGCTAAAGAAGGGTCATGTAGAAAAACTGCTTAAGTAGCAAGTGAAAGAAGGCTTCTCCAGGTGAGGACCAGGTAACTGCTGAGATTTTAACTTGAGAATCTAATAACTTCACCACAAACATTATCAATAGCTTTCCTACCTATGCTAAAACTGTGGGCAACACCCAAGGGAACAGACTTAGAGACTGAACAGATGGCCAGGTTTTCTCAGCCCAGTGATACTGGGAGATCGTAACGTTAAATGTCAATGGCAAGATCAGGGACAGTGAGCTTAGCAAATGTAGGTGAGCCTACAGCACATTTTGTTAGATAAAAATGACTTTATTAGCCCAGGGAGGTAGAGAAATGATCAGTTTTAAAGCCATAAAGGGCTGGCACGAACCCTAGCACCATCACAAACAAGCTCTGTGAACTTGGGCAAGTTTCTTCCTGAAGTCTCAGGGGATTTTTAAATCTCTAGGGTGAACAAACCAAAATCTATACTACTGTTGTGAAAATGAGAAATAATGTCTAAAGACAGGCCAAGAAAACGCCAGGAATGATAAGGCTTGGGGGAAATGAGCATTTTCAAAGTTGTAAAAGTTGAATCACTCTTTTTAAAGAACAACTAGCAACACCCTTTAAAACAACATCCTGCTTCTAGAAGTTTATCTTATGAAAATAATAGAGAAAGTATGCAAAAATGTCAAGGACATCTACTGAAGGACTGCCCCAAGCTAGAAAGAAACTAAAAGTCTACCCATATGAAACAGGGTAAATAAATTATCCTATATAATAAAAGGGTAAAATGCAAATTGACCAAACGGCAGAATGACCAGTTGTTATGATGTGCACTGACCACCAGGGGACAGTCGCTCAACACAGGAGGTGCCCCCTGGTAGTCAGTGCACTCCCACAGGGCTGATGGCTGGCAAGTGCAGTGGCCCGCCTCCACGGTAGCACTAAGGATGTCCAACTGCGGCTTAGGCTGTCAGTTGGACATCTCCCGAGGGCTCCTGGACTGCAAAAGGACACAGGCTGGGCTGAGGGGCGCCACACCCCTCCCAACCCCCACAGTGCACTGGGCCTCTAGTGTCCATATAATGCAATACTGTGCAATGTTAAAAAGGATAAGAGATCTTTATGTATTTGACATGAAAAGATATGCAGAATATATTGAGTAACAAATGGATTACTAAATATTATAATATTGATCCAGTATACTTAAAAATATGTAAAATGAGAAATAATGTCTAAAGACAGGCTAAGAAAACACCAGGAATGTGCATACTATGTGCATATATTTATACATCTATATGTGAAAAATAAGAGCCTTGGAGGTATATAAATCAAACATTAATCAGATTATGTTGATACTTGTAATTAAGAGAAAATTTCACTTTGTCTTTTTGTATTTTAGCAATCATGGATTAACAGAATTTTAAAAAGCACAGAATGATCTCTGTAATATGCCTTTCTCCATTTAAGGCACTTAATAAGAGCCTCATAAATTGTATCATCATCATTATCATCATTCAGATGAGATCTATTTAGAAATCCAAATTAATATGAATACGGGGCTTGATCATTTTAAACTTCTATTAGATTAAGGCCAAGAATGCGTTCTTCCTTTATTAGCAAATCAACCATGTCCAGGCCAAAGCAGCTCGCCCAGGATCACCAGGGTGTGGAGAGCTTCACTTACCTCGCCTGTGCAAGTCCAATCAAGAACCAACCTGCCATTAGCGCAGTGGAAAGAACACAGATTGCTTTTAATTCCTATCCAGATCTACCAGGTCTCCTATTTCCCTTTAAACAGCTTTCAGAATGCTAATGCTCACCACACCTCACCAGCGTTTTAAGAAATGCTGTCACTTCAGGAATCAATTTGCTCCTCCATAGCTTTTCCTGGAGCACAGAATTTTAGGTATGAAATGACAGGCATGGGCTTCACCATCTGGCTAATCCGGGCAAAATGCTTTTCCGTTTCCAACTGCATGCAGACAGCATACAGGCTGCCCTACTACAATGATAACTTCCATCAGGCCACTGCCCTACTACAATGGTCACGATCTCCACTGCACACAGGACCAAGTCCAAGCTCCTCTGGTAAGACTGGGCCCTCCTTACCTGCCTAGCCATCCCTGCCTGCCTCCAGGAGTCCTGAGCCATCTCCACTGCACTGTGACTGAGTCTCAGCCTCGCTTCAAGGAGGTCTCAAGACAAGCAAAAGGAATACGCTTTTAAAAATAGGAGGGATCGCGTGCTGCTGTCAGAGAGATGAGAGAGGTCATACAGGTTGAAATTACTAGTTTTTTAAATTGTATTTTTTCCTTTCTTTTTAGGAGAGGGGGATGTCATCTATAGAGTACCTAGACTTATTAAATGGACTTGAACACAAGATCTTAGTAACCTTTCTTCTTCCTGCTGCTAGATATTTGGTTTAACGTGACTCATTATCACGGTTAGATTAATGTTTAATGTGGCCTGGTTATTGTTTCATTTCAGGCAGAAATATATAGCCAAGAAGATGAAGCTGGTAGAGTAAGAGGTGTTTAAATTCAACTAAGTGAATTTGGTAAGTAACTAGAAATGCCGATGAATACATTTTAAGAGTTTAACTGCGTTGGGGGAGCTTTAATGAGACTGTATAGATAAAGAAAACAGCCAACTCTAAAAAAGAAAACAGTTTGTACTAGAATTATCAAGCATTTACAAGAAAAAATATGAAGAGAAGTCAGTCTTACTTTGAATGTCAGGATGGCTCACCATGGGTCTTTGTCCTTTACTCCTCCCATTCTGAAGCTTCAAATATAAAGAATAAGGTCACAGTCCCTGTTAGTTTTTTCAGAGTCACATTATGTTACACCTCTTTAAATATTTCTATAGAATTTTTACCCAGGAAAAAATAAAAATATCACATTCACTGTTAAATTAGCTAAAGAAGAAGAGCAAGAGCTATTAACTCCATGAATCCTACATCTTGTAGCCAAAGAACAAGGCAACTTTCTTTTCAAGAAGTGAAAATACAATTAACATGTAAATATGCTAAATTAGCGTATTAGAATGTTTCAAAAGAGCTCAATAAAGTCAGCTGTCATGGTAATAGTAGAATTGCTATAAAAGCTCCAAGACAGCCCAACTGGGTATGGCTCAGTGGTTGAGCATTGACCCATGAACAGGTCATGGTTTGATTCCTGGTCAGGGCACATGCTCAATCCCCAGTGGAGGGGAGGGGAAAGGGTGCACAGGAAGCAGCCAATCAATGTTTCTCTCTCATCATTGATGTTTTTATCTCTCTCTCTCCTCCCTTCCTCTCTGAAATCAATTTTAAAAAAATTAAAAAAAAAAAGAGTTCCAAGACAGAACAAGCTGTTGAAACATGCAACTGACCTTAAACCTGATCATTTAACACAGAGGCAATGTATGTATGGTTAAGAGTGGGAGTTCTAGCTCAAATAAACCTGGCTATAAATTTTGTTTCTGCCACTTAATAGCTATGTAACCTCAAGCAAGTTATTTAACCTCTATATATCTGTTTCTTTATCCTCAAAATGAGGACAATAGTGGTACCTACCTTATACATTTTTGTGAAGGTTAAGTGTATTCAAAGCACTCAGGACAGTACTTAGCACATGAAGTGCTTAATGACTGTCCAGTTACTGTTTTCTATAATTGCCCAGCTAAACATAAGCCACATGTGGGCTTGATTCTCGGTAACAGCTACCACTTCTGAGGGCTACAGTGGGATTAATCAGAGAATTAAAGATTGAACCGACCCTTTCTTCTCAGATGACAGGTCCTGTGTAAGGTACACATCCCACATACTGTCAACCATCTGATACGCTCAGCTTTCAAATGACAGTTTCTCCACTGAAGCTATCCTAGCCAAAAGAGAGAAGTAGACTGTTCATTACACTGTCTTAAGCTAAGTCTGTGTGTCTAAACTTAGTAAAGAAAAGCATTTAACCAGTGACGTAGCCGCAGGTTGATGATATTAAGTAGAAGTTTAAGCTCCACATGGCTATGCATTCACTTTTACATACTATTAAAGATACATAACATTAAATCGAAGCTAGATTTAAGAAGCATTATACTGAGCCCTTGCCGGTGTGGCTCAGGCGGTTGAGTGTCATCCCGTACACAGAAAGGTCAGCAGTTTGATTTCCAGTCGGGGCACAAGCCCATGGTGCATTCAGATTGATGTTTCTCTCACATCAATGTTTTTCTCTCCCTCTTTCTTTCTCCCTCTCCCTTCCTTTCTCTCTAAAATCAATGTTAAAAATATATTTATTTTTAAAAGCATATTGCAAAGAAATAAATGAAATCAAATAAGCATTATATTGCAGTGTCATACAACTTTTTTATTCTACAATATGTTGCTATCATGTGCCATTTAATGCCACCGTATCTATTTTTATTGATTTGAGAGAGAGAGGAAGGGAAAGGGATAGAGAGATAGAAATATCGATCAGCTGCCTCCTGCATGTCCTCCATGCAACCAGGGCATGTGCCCTGACCAGGAATCGAACCGGGAACCTCTTGGTTCAGGGATTGATGCTCAACCACTGAGCAACACCAGCTGGGCTGCCACCATAACTTTTAAAGCACTTTTGCAGCCATGTATGAGTTAATATCTAGGTATTCGGTTCCTAAATCTTGAAAGAAATTCACTGAATTCATGTGCTACAGTGCCTGCTTATTAAATAAATGAATGATCAGGGTCATAGATTAATATAGAAAATTTAAGGAGAAGTTTATACACAGAGCATGTGAGTTCTCAACGGGCTACAAAGGTAGTGAATACAATTACTTCCGTTAACAAAATAGAAAGACAATAGTAAAAATGGGGCAGAGTTTTAACTAAGAATGGCGACCTAATTTATATTAGAGAGACAATAGCAGAGAAAGCTCAGAAAATCTGAGTCAGCATCCTAAATCAGTTTTGTCTCATTTAATATCACAGAGATTCAGAAAGACAAAAGCAAGCATAATTGGTTCTTGGAAAACGACAGACATATCTAAGCAATGGCGTATTTAGTATGTAGTTTATTACATACACCACGGTGTAGAGGAAGGCACAGGGACTGGGCCCAGTTCTGGTGATAGCTGGAGGTGGGTAATCACTTAGCATTCTTTAGGACTATGTTTTCTTATTTGTTCAGCGAGGGGGCTGGACAGTATAATCCTTATCATCCTTTTCAGCTCTGAAATTCTATTGCTCAGTAGCATCTCTTACAGCTCATGTTATTCATTAAACTATTTCTATCATAGGGGTAGTTAATGTTTTCATCACATACTTTTATGAAAGTCTTTATCATTTAACCATGAAATTGCACTCTGATCTAAGTCCTCACTACAAATTCCACATAACTTTATATGGGGATGAGGATGAGATTATACTAAGATTGACTTCTCAGAATAAAACATATTTATTGTTTTATTCTGACCAATAACATCTTCACAGACCAATAACATCTTCACAGACCAATAACATCTCTCACCCTGGCCGGTTTGGCTCAGTGGTTAGAGGGTTGGACTGTGGACTGAAGGGTCCCAGGTTTGATTCTGGTCAGGGGCACATGCCCGGGTTGTGGGCTGTCCCCAGTCGGAGGCTTGCAGGAGGCAGCCGATCCATGATTCTCTTACATCATTGATGTTCCTCTCTTTCTCTCCCTCTCTGTTCTCTCTGAAATTAATAAAAATATATATTTTTTAAAATCTCTCAATAACAAAAATGAAAGGGTTAATCAAGAAACAGGGCTAACTCAGCAGGGGCTAACAAAAGAAAGCTCGTTCTGCAAGCCTAAGCCCTGCACACAACATGCTCCCCTTGAGTGGTTATTTTACAGAAATTCCTGAAGACCATAATTCCCCAGGAAGAAGGACAAAGGGCAAGGCTGTAAAACTATGACCCACGGACCTGGGCAAGGTCCTGATCCGCCCGGTCCTGGTCCGTGTGTCAGCCTAAAGCTATCTGCAAGCGCTCCCTACGCGCATAAAAAGCCTGCTCCCTCCCCATTCGCCACTGATTTCTTTTTCAAACTCAGTCCACCTGCACCCAGGTGCCTTGAGTAAATATCTTTTTAACTACCCTGAGCCTTGAGTCAGTTCTGTGCGAACCTGGCCCAACTCCGAACCTTTCAAAAAACACTTTTGCCGACATCATTAAAATAAGCTCAATAAGCTCAATAAAAAGCAAATGCCCAGAGAGGTAAATACAAATGTATTTATTTGGAATTATTTTTTGTCCAAACAAAAGATTGGGAATAAGTTGTTACATATGTATGTTTTATAAACACAGGCACATTTCTACCACAATTTTTTCAAGTGTTAAGTAGAGTACATAGTGTAAGAATATATATTTTTTAATTAAATTTCTGAAGCTTTTTCATGCTGGGATTCCACACATTTGCTCCAGACTCACCCTTAAGTTATATGAAGGATCCTTAATACTCAAGTTTGGGAGAGATGCCTGGAGGCCATTTACATAACTTGTTTCTGCTCCTTGAGCTGTAAGCAGAAGAGAGTTAAGGTTTACCAATTATTATTAAATGAATCTTCAATGATAGCTCAGTACAAGGTCAATCATCATCTTTGAAAATACCCTAAACTTTCCAGCCACCTTACTTAATTCAAAATATCAGATCAGATGACTCTTCTTCCACCAGCATCATTAAGAAAGGACTAAAAATGCTACTCTTGTACTTAATCTTTTATCAGTCATTTGGGGTGGAATAGGAGGCGGGCGGGGAGGGGCAGTTCTGTAGATCACTGGGTCTCAGCCATGTCCTTCAGGCTGTGACTCTGGGGGCAGTAGGCTGCTAACAGGCCCCAAGCTGAGGCTGAGTCTAAAGGACAGTGGGGGCGGGGGACAGGCCAGAGAAGGCCAGTGTGAACCTGGTCCCCTTTACCAAGGGAGGGGTTTTCAGCAGAACAGATGCCCTTTTTCATGAGAAGATTTTGTGAAACTCAGAACATATGCAGGAAAGCCATGGAACCCCAGTGACAAGATCCCACCCAGAGTTGGATGGTGATCAGGTCAAACGCTGGAGCAAGGCAGCAGGGCATATCCTCAAAAGCCCTGAATGTCCACAGCACCTCCACCAGGTGCAGAAAATAGGGGTGCAAACTCTTTCTTGAAGGTGGGAATGTTAACAACTGCTTGGTGGCATGTTGGAGAAGGCCAAGACTCTTGGGTCATGGGCGTGGGGTGATGAAGTCAGCAGATCTGGGATATGAAAGATATAAAGGGATATGATCTCTAATCACAGGCTACCAGGGGCTGTGAACATTCAGGTGCTTTCCAACCACCCAACAATGGATATTTACCAACCAAACCTACCCTGCACAGGGTACTTTCCTTAGACCGCGGAAAGGCCAAAATTCTGCTTACCAGACTGCTTGTATTTCTGGATTTTTGTCTTCAGGTCTATTCTGTGGATGTTCTTCAGACATTTTTCTAATAATTCCAATTGATCTGGAGCAACTAGATTTAGCTTCTCCAATTCCATCACAAGATCCAAGAAGCTCTAAGAGAGACACCAACAAGAAATAAATGTCAGTAGGACTGACGATTAAGCCCCAAATGCAAAATTAAGGCTGTGGGTGTATAACAGCAAGAAACGGTGACAAGTGGAGCTCCTTCAGACCTTCAGGGATCCTAAACTAGACTTCTCTGCTTGATAGGCCTTCCAGGGCCAGGTGCAAAGTACTCTCCTGAAGTTGACTCAGCAAAGAGGCAGTGGGAAGTCTTTTGGTGGCCAACCTGTGTCTAGGTTGGGAATGGACACATGGCCATTTTGTGTCATCAAGGAATATGGTGGGAGAGCGGGCCTAAAAATACAGTAAAATCCTCCCAAGCTGCTTCTCTTTCAAACACTCAGGCTGGTGTTATGGTAAAAAACACTAAGGGCTTTCCTGAAAAAGGAAGAGAGGAGGTAGTTTGGGGAATCTTTTTACTAGGAAAACCCCAATGATACCGTTTTGAAGTTCCTCACATTTTTAATCAATGCTGGCCATTCCAACTCACTCTGATTCAGAGGATATGAGGAGGCAAAATTTCAAGGTCAGGGCATTTTGTTACTCAGCCATTGCCTTTGGTTTCACCTCCCTTCTGCTTAACATTTGTTTGCTGACGTGCTATTTTTATTCTAAAATAGAATAACCATGCCCTAGCCAGTTTTGCTCAGTGGATAGAGCATCGGCCTGGGGACTGAAGGGTCCCAGGTTCGATTCCAGCCAAGGACACATGCCCAGGTTGTGGGCTCGATCCTCAGTGTGGGGCATGCAGGAGGCAGCCAATCGATGATTCTCTCTCCCTCTCCCTTCTCCCTTCTTCTCTGAAATCAATAAAATTATATTAAAAAAACAACAACAACACCATACTGTTCTCACTTTCTGCCTTCCCTCACCCCCAGCTTGGGCCTCCGTGCTCAAACGCCTGCTTCCCTCTCTTCACACCATAGAGAGAATCCTCCAACTTCTGATGGGCTCTTGGGAATATTAACCAAGAAAAAGAAAACGCACCTTATCCTTGGCTGTCTTGCCTCGGCCCATATAATCCTTCATGAGAAAAATTAATGAGGACATATCAGATTTATCCAAATGTTCACCAATCTCAGTCATCAGCACCCTGTGAAACAGACAAGTTTCTTTAGTAAATTCAGATTACCAGTCCCAGTGAGACCACCAAGAACCTATGCCTCCTCTATGCCAACAATTGGTTAAAAGACTAGTTCTTGTCCCCATTTGAATGTGCCCCCCATAAGACAGAAAGCCTAGATCACCCCAGAAGGAGATCTTAAGGGAACTCCAAAAGATAACTCATCTTTTTCCCAGTTTTCAATAGGAGATGGTACTTCTCTTTCCAACTAACTACTCTGAAAACAACTCAGAGAATAAAAACTTCCCTAAAGAATCCCCTAGCTCCCCCAGAAGTTATGAAGAAATAAGTAAAGAACCTGAATGACTAAGATGAAGACAGAAATAGAATTGGAAATTATCTTCTCTGTTGAACAACCTCCCTGATGCTGATGCTGATGCTGATCCGGGGACCATACTTTGAGTCACAAGATTCTAAAGCAAACACCCGGCTCACTCTGAAACTCAAAGGGTAAAGATCATCTAGAGCCTGGGGATTGTGACCGCAGAGGTCCTGCTCTAGAAAGCCCCTCCTAACTCAGTCAGTCACCTCTGTTCCAGTAAGAGCTACCATCATGCTTTATTGGGCTTAACGGCTGTTTTCCCAATTAGACTCACAGAATCTTGAGTATGGAAGAGTCTTCACATACTTTGCTCTAGCACTTTCCAAAAAGCAGGCTGGCATATATCAACCCACAAAAACAAAAGCTACTTAACAAATAAATAAATGGCCCTAGCCCAGTTTGGCTCAGTGGATAGGGCATCAGCCTGCAGACTGAAGGGTCCCAGGTTCGATTCCAGTCAAGGGCACATGCCGGGGTTGTAGGCTCGATCCCCAGAAGCGGGCATGCAGGAGGCAGCTGATCAATGATTCTCTCTCGTCATTGATGTTTCTATCTCTCTCTACCTCTCCTTTCCTCTCTGATATTAATTTTAAAAAATACATTTAAAAAAATGAATACATAAATCTAGCACTCCCCTCCCATTGCCTGGCCTTTCTGCCAAAAGGCCCTGAGAAACTGCCTCCCCACTCACCGACCATAAGAAACAGTAAATGTTGAGTGCCCCCTAACTTATTCACAAAAACCCAGTTGGTGCCTCCCAAAAAGTTTTAAGGTTACTGATATTATATGATGGTTATGATGCTTGGAGAAGTGGAAAATGACGAAGAATAACAACAGCAACAATTACATTTGCAGAGTGCTTCACAGTTTTAAAAGGTACTTCACATGCTAGATTATCACAATTGAGCCTCACAAACAACTTGTGAAATTAGGTATTCTATTATTCTTAGCTTTCCCACTAGGAAAAAGAAGGCCCAACCAATGTTAGTGGCTGGATCAGCTAACCAGGCCTGTACCTGACAGTTTTGAGGCTTGAATCAGGACTTCAGACCTCAAGTCTCAGACACTTCCCAAAGCCCACACTGCTTTCAACTCTCTTTAATATATTTTTTAATAATACACATCATCTCCAACTATACATTATTGATATAATAAAGGCTGGTGGCCCGGCTGGTGTGGTTCAGTGGATTGAACATTGGCCCATGCACCAAGAGGTCACCGGTTCAATTCCCAATCAGGGCACATGCCCGGGTTTCGGGCTCAATCTCCAGTAGGGGATGTGCAAGAGGCGGCCGATTGATGTTTCTATCTCCCTCTCCCTTTCTCTCTCTCTCAAATCAATAAAAACATATGTTAAAAAAAAAATAACTCAAGGCTGGTGGTCTGGAGAAAAAGGAACTGCTAATTTAAGCAGTTCCCAACAAGTTTTAAGGTTACTGATATTATATGATGGTTGGAGAAATGGCTTCTGTGCACCCCAGAACCTCCAAGAGCACTTTGTGTGAACAAAAGGAGCAACTTAAAGGCTTTATGAACTAAAGGGGACTCCAGCAGATGTTCCTCTCTGATGGGGGATGAGATGTGGTCTTTCTTAGCTTGACATGTCTGGACATGGTAATTTCCATACTGAGGCTGGAATTTTCACACAGAAGCCTCTGGAAGTAGGAACTTCCCAGAAACTCACAAGAAGGAAGTCCAACCCACTAGTTTCCTCAGGAACAATTAGAGTTCCACAAAGATCACCATATGACTTGTTTCTATGTGTTTGGCTCTTTGTTTATCCGTTTATATTGTTCATTATATTCCACAGATGAGTGAGATCATGTGGTACTTATCTGACTTGTTATTTCCTTTCTCAGTATGGAAAATTGCCAGGTCTGACATCATAGATCTCAATATGGAAAATTGCCAGGTCAGACATCATAGAAAATAAGCTAACAGAGACCACTGCAGATCTCACAGAGGCTGCAAGAATCACCAGGTCTCGGTCCGGGGGAAGCTCAGTGGGTTATAGAGTGTTGCCCCGATACTCCAATACTATGTGGGCTGGATTCCTGGTCAGGACACTAACAAGAATCAACCAATGAACGCATAAGTAAGTGAGACAACAAATCTCTCTCTCTCTCTCTCTCTCTCTCTCTCAAATCAATAAATTAAAAAAAAATTTACTAGGTCTTAGTCGTGCCCATTTCTCTTACTCTACCCATAGGGCAAATACATATCATCTATCACTTCCACTGTCATTATGATCTACTACTACCCAACTAATGAAAGAAAACACCACCTAGAAATTCAAAGAGCTTAAAGCAGTGGTTCTCAACCTTCCTAATGCCGCGACCCTTTAATACAGTTCCTCATGTTGTGGTGACCCCCAATTTCATTGTTACAAATTGAACACAATTAAAGCATCGTGATTAATCACAAAAACAATATGTAATTATATATGTGTTTTCCGACGGTCTTAGGCGACCCCTGTGAAAGGGTCGTTCGACCCCCAAAGGGGTCGCGCCCCACAGGTTGAGAACCGCTGGGCCTTAAAGGAATGAAGTAACATTATACAGGCGTTGGATCAGTGAGCAGAGGAAGTAATGAAGCTGCTTTTCTCACTATCCTTGTTTCTCTCGTTCAGAAGTCTCGACCACCTGCTTCCCTCCCAGCCTCAGGCTTACCTGTAGTCTGAAACAAGATGTGGGTGTCCGAGCAGGTAGGCCTCCACTGTCCTTTTGTCCATCTTCAAGATCCGCTTGAGCAGGTCAAACCGCCTCACTCTGTAGAGCAGCTCAGCCAGGCCCATGAAAGACAGCTTTCCTCTTTCATTTAAACTGTCCAAAAGGTCCCTGACGTTAAATGCAGACACATCTGCAACAACATCTCGGCACAGAAACAGAAGCATCTCCCTCTCGTCTTCATCGAGCGCCTCGTCAATCTGATGAATGACCTCAGCAAACATCCTGCAGAGTGCCTTGCAGGGGCAAGACGCCAGTCCAGTCAACAGAAGGCCATGAGGCCACTGACTTCATTTCTGATGGGCTTCTTCATTTCTTTCAGAATCCTTTCCAATGGAGGTGTTCTGTGGTTAAAAGGGAATTTTTTTAAAAATCTTCTTATCAAAGGAACTTATGCTTAAAATTCAAAATAGGGGCTTTTCCTTTCTTGCTGGTCTCCAGGAGATCAAATTCATATTGTGAAGTCTACAAAGAGCGACCCTCAATAGACAAACGGATCCAAAACCAAGACAAAGGAAATAACTTACATTTTAAGGCAAATAAAATCAGAGACAAAATTCCCCCCCAAAACATCCACACGCCTACCAGAAATTATTAGAATGTATGATGTGGTAAGGAATGTATGAAATCATACAAGAAAATGGGTTGTGACTAAGTGGCAAATTTTACTAGAGGAGGAAAAACCCAATTACTAAGCAGCTGAGAGGACAAACTTCCTCTTTCGGTGAGTGACCTAGCCCAAGGCCCTCTGTGGGGGATCAAAAATAATGGGAGAAAGAGGCATCTATTCCTACTTCTCCTACTTTAAAATCCCTCATTCTACCTGTAAGTAACAAACCTTCACTGCCGTCCTCCCAAGGCCCCGGGCTTTTATCACGGCTTCCCCATGAATGCTTAGAGGACCTGCCACCACAGCTGAACCTTGTCAAGTTCTGGTCACCTCTTTGTGGCCCCCTTCCCCCTGGAAGTTCCAGGGCAGCAATTGTCACTAGAGTTCCTGACGGTACCAGTGGGAGGAAGGAAGTGGAACAGAAGATGTGGGGAAAGACCCCAGTCCTGGGATGGGATCTGGGTGGGAGTGGTGGGAAGGTCATGCCAGGGGTACATTCTGAACTTCTGTCCGTGGAGCACAACCTATTTTCTTTCCAAGTTTAAGCTGCAAATGGCAGTCACCATCTATTCTAAAGTTTCATGGCTATGTTTTACGCTTAAAAATGTTAGTGTTCTGGGAGAGTAGTACCTAGTCTGTTTCTATCAGAGAACCTTGGGGGTTAAAAGCTAACCACAGCAAATAAATAACTGGAAACACAACCCAACTGCAAGGTGTTGTTGCTACATATTTGCATACAGGTATATTTATATACCTATGTAGCTAAACTTAGTGAAAAGAACACTGAATCTATTTTATTTATTTATAAGTAATTTTTATTTATATATAATCTCAGTCCACAAAAGATTTGAGGCATCTTAAATAAAATTTCATAAGCAGGAAATTTTTTTTATGCGTAAACAAAGGAAAAAATTAGGTTACAAAGTCGAAATGGGTTGGATGGTAAATACAATGCAAACATGCAGGCCAGAAAGGCCTAAACAGATTTTAGTAGGCTGTGAATTTGTCCCTAAGCTTCCTGGCAGTAACAAAGCAAAAAGGGGAATATGGGACATTAAATATATAGTTCTTGCTGTCAAAGAAAAGAAAAACAAAACAGATTCTTAGAGGAAGCACAATTTTCCTAAAATTCTAGAACTATCCATCAATGAAAATATTAAAGAGTCTAAAAGTAATAAAATTATATTTATTTTAGTGCTTAAAATTTTTAAATATTTTATTTTAAAATAGACCATTCATTCATTCATACTTTTCACACTGGCCTCCCACTACCAGTGTAAATGGGTGAGCTCTTAATAAAAATAGACATTTTATCTAATGTATACTTGTTAATAAGTATTGATGTGTCTACGCCAATCCCATTCCCATTCATCCAAAATTCACTTACATATGGCCACTTGTGAATAATTAGAGTAATAAAATTTATGAAATTATTGCTCAATGAAAGTAAAAAGTAACTGGTACTCAGACTATTTTTTTCATCTGAAAGCTGAATATTAATTTTATGTGTTTCAGAAAGCCTAAATCTATACTCCACTCATAAGCATGTTAATAGCCACTAGTTTCCATGAAATGAGGTCAAGTTCTTTATTCACTAAAAGTCACAATTTTGTTAGTAGTTTTTATAAATTAACCTAAAAAATATTTATATACAGCCCAGCTGGTGAGCTCAGTGGTTGAGCAATGACCAGGAACTAAGAGGTTGCTGGTTCAATTCCCAGTCAGGGAAGGTACCAGGTTGTGAGCTCGACCCCCCAGTAGGGGCTGTGCAGGAGGCAGCAAATCAATAATTTTCTCTCATCATTGATATTTCTATCTCTCTCTCCTCTCCCTTCCCCTCTGAGATCAATTATATATATTTAAAGTTATAGTCCTTTAATAAAGTACCACATGGCCCTAAAAATAAACTATTACTTCATGAATCTTACAAAGAAAAAGCAAAAGTAAAGAAATATTTTTGCCTAGGCAAAAAGCAAATTGCTAAAGCATACATTAAAAGCCTAAATGCTTAAAAAATAATACCATACAGGGCGGAGTAAAGTAGTTTTACAATTGTTCATATGGAAAATAATACAATAATTAATAAATAATAATACAAGAATAAACTCATGTTTCACAACTGTAAACCTACTTTTGCCTCACTCTGTATATTGTTTAGGGAGCGAGGTGTGTAGTGAAAATATTAAAACATACATAGCAATAATAAATACTGAATTGTTTTCCATGACAGGATGAATGGTCACATAAAAATACAGAGGCTGAACTTGTAATATTTTGAAATGACTGAACGTGTAATATTTTGCTTCATAAGCCAGACATTAGGTATACAGATACTAACATAAATATACCTCGTATCACATTCTCTGAACACAGTACAATAAAATTAGAAAACAGTAGCAAGCCAAAAGGAAACCTTATAGATCTTTAAAAAGAAAAATTAGCTTCGGTCCCTTCTGTACACCTATTTCACAGAATCCAGAATGCTTTTAGAGCTTCCCTGGTGCACACAGAGACAAGCTTTAGAACAAGGAATCCTAGAGGCATCCCAAAGTTATCCTCAACAAGAACTGGTCAGATTGTACTTAACATGACTCAAAAGATGTGGCCAGGGGCAAGGAGGGGTGGCAGCAGGTGGAATGAGGTCTGCAGAGTTCTGTGAAGCCCGGTGCCCATCGCTTGCAGCCCCACCCTGCCTGCGCTGCCAGCTCCGCACGCCACTCACCTCCTCGAAGTCACTTGCTTCGTTCGCCTCACTTGGATGAGGGACAGAGGGGTGATGTGAGCCCAATTCTTTTTTTTTCCTGCTTTTAAATGCCCGGTCTTCCTGATGTCATCATCATTAGATTAGTTTCATTTCACTCTACTACAGTAAGCCTTTTCTAGCCAGACATAACTGGCATCGATAAGTATATAGAATTCTTTAAAAATTTCCCTTTTCTACTCCCCTGCCCTCTTCTGTCAAATTGTAACTTGATGATGATGCCTCCCCTTCTTCCACCCCCATATCCTGGTACAAACTGTTCCGATCTTCACTGTGAGACACAGAACCTAAGACCAGTTGCAGTTTCATTTCTCGAGTGGGACTCGTGGGAGGGTTCAATAATCATTTAAACAACTCAGCTGTAAATTTCCAAAGTGGATCCCCACAACTTTGGCCAATAGAACGTGTGCCAGGTTTTAGAAACAGAAATGAGGTATTTCCCATGGAAATACATTCAATATGGGTGTTTATAAAACTGCAGCAAGGGCTAGGGGAAGGGGCTCTTGGCTGGGCTCCTGAGAAAGATTCCTGGGACTCCCAGGAAGACCGTATCTCAGTGGGGAATCAGGAGGCCGCCACAGGGAGAACTGAGCTCAAGAACTCCCGCGGTGACCCAGCTACCAGAAGGCAACCCACCGCCACCACACCTGCCTCCACCAACGCCACACCTGGTGAATGGACACCTAAACGCTGCTACCCACATCCCCAAGTCATCACCACCATGCTTGCCAGCAGAGAAACGGAGAAAAGCAACCAGCTATTGGCCTCTACCTCACTGCTGTTTGTAAATCTTGCCTAAATGCACCTAATTAGCAGAACTAAAGTCACATCCTACTTGTAAAGAAGTCGGGGAGAGCCGAAACCGGTTTGGCTCAGTGGATAGAGCGTCGGCCTGCGGACTCAAGGGTCCTGGGTTCGATTCCGGTCAAGGGCATGTACCTGGGTTGCGGGCACATCCCCAGTAGGGGGTGTGCAGGAGGCAGCTGATCGATATTTCTCTCTCATCGATGTTTCTAACCATCTATCCCTCTTCCTTCCTCTCTGTAAAAAAATCAATACAATATATATTTAAAAAAAGAAAAAGAAGTCGGGGAGATGCAGACTGTAGTTGTCCGCCCTCTGGACAGAGGTGAGAATGGGTCTTGAGGACCAACTGACATTAGCCACCATGGAAGGATAGTCCATGAGGGCATCCCTGTCTTCTTTCTGGTTAAATCCTCTGTGTGGACCCCAGTGCCTGACTCATAGTAGGCACTCAATTAATATTTGTTGAATGAATGAAGGTATGATCACAAATTACTACCAAGTAATAGCCTCACTTCCCTTTCTCCCCAGACTGGACTGAGAGCATAAGCTACAAACTCTCGCCAGCTAGCACCCTCAATTCTCTTGCCATGTTGCCTCCTCACCACCAGCTCTGCAACACCTTGAGTGACCAGCTGGTCCTGATTTGCCAGGACTTCCCAGTTTTAGCCCAAAAGTTCTGTGTCCCAGAAAATTCCTCGGTCCCGGGAAAAGCAGAATGGTTCATCACCCCAGCATCCCATCCTCAACGGTGAGCCTCCTCCACACATACGTCCAGAATAGCAAGTCTGGCTGAAGCGGGTGGGGGTGAGGATGGGGAAATCACACCACACCCTTAGGTTTTCAACCTCAGCAGCTCCTTACTGCTGCTCTGAAACCATTTTTACAGGACCTTGGTCAGCTCCTTTCCCATACCCTCACAATGGCTCCACCCACGCTGCTCCCTTCCATCCTATCACCACCCAGGGGGGCGGGTTATCAGATGACTGACATTTACCAGGGTTGAACTCCAGTAACCTTCCACATTCCCACTGTGGGGCTGGCACCTGTTGTCCGTCAGCTTGCCCAGGGCCAACCACTCCCCTTGTGCCCTCCTGTCTCCATGAGCTCTTTGGTCAACCTTTCCCTAGGCCCAGGGACTCCTTCCCTCGGCTTGTAAACATGTTAAGGTCTCTTCCATCTTAAAAAACAGCAACAACAAGAAAAAGCCTTAAGCCTCAGATCCCCTAGATCAGGGGTGGGCAACCCCTGGAACACGTGCCAAAGATGGCACGCCAGTAACTTTTGCTGGCACGCGAAACCCTCTCTTACTATCTTCCATTTACAATTTTTGTGAACATTTGAATGACTTAAATGTTAAATTACAAGGAACTGGCAAGACACTTGATGTTATGTTTGGTTACATAAAGGCTTTTGAAAAGAAACTGGAAGTCTTTAAGAGGGATGTGGATGGTGAGAGATTTAGATATTTCCCAAACCTCAAGAGGCACATCAAAGACCTCCCAAAAGATGACAGAACAGACTGTCAAAGCCTTCAAAAGCTGTTTTTAAACATCATCGAGTCAACTATTGAGCAGTTCTTCTCAAGATTTGCGAAATTCAGGGGACTGGAAGAGACAGCAAAATTCATGAGGTTTCCAGACAGCACGAAACTGGAGGAACTAAACTTACAAATGTTTTCATGGATAGACATGGCTGACTTTGAAATGCAGTTGACTGAATTTCAGAGTAGCTCAATTTGGAAGCAGAAATTTATTGACCTTAGAGTTGACTTGAAAAACACTGAAAAAAAGCAATTTGAGACAGGAGTACCAGAGAGAAGTGTCAAAAACGAACTATTGAGGACTTGGAATGCCATTCCAGAAAATTTTTTCTGTTTAAAAAACTTTGCAACTGTGTTACTCTCCATGTTTTCATCCACATATGCTTGTGAATCTTTGTTCTCAGTGACGAATTTTGTTAAGTCTCATAAATAGGAGTAGCCTGATGGATGAAAGCAGTAGCTTGTGCATATCTCTGAAGGTCACAAAATATAAACCTGATGTAAAATCTCTGTCATCAGTGATGCACCAGCAAAAGTCCTACTGATAACATCAAACGGAGTCATAAAGTTTTCTGTCGGACTATCAGTGTACATGTATACATTAAAAAATAAATGTATTTTTCATCATCATATACTGTGTTTTTGTCGCTCGAATGAATTTTATTATTTCTTCAAGTTTCTTCACATACGTACACTTTAAGAGATATCAAGTTGGCGTAACATGTTCTCAAAAAATTAGGGTTGGCACACAGAAGAATTTTGAGTCAGAGATTTTGCTGGTTTTGGCACGCACTCACAAAAAGGTTGCCCACCCCTGTCCTAGATAGACTGATCCTTTCAGTAGTTTACTTTCATGTGAAGCTGGGCCTTTATGAATGAAGAGTCTGCCCTCAGTCCTTCAATTACTTCAACTTCAATCCACTCCTCACTAAGCCTCCACCTGCATCCTCCCTCCCCCCATATCCTTTACAGATTGACATTCCGTGCGGAGCCAAACTACAACCTGCCGAAGGAAAAATCAGTAGTACTAATGCTGTCTGTTTTAAATGTTGATATTTGGTTCATTATGGATTTTTTTGCATGAATGTCAATTTTTTTCCAAAACATTGCATTAGAATACTATATCTTGATTACTGTGTTTTTAAGCACCCCCTTAAATGTTGTGTCTGAGGTGGTGCCTCCCTTTACTCACCCTGCTGACAGTGCTCTTGTAGAGGCCTTGGGGACCTCCTAGTGGCCACATCCGGGGTCTGCTGATTAACCCCGCCTTGAAAGCACCTCCCTTGGCTGGCCTCACACCTCTGCATTCTATGCAGTCCCTTGCTAACCTCTGATTCTCCACACCCTCCTTCTGCACCTGCTCCTTAAATGAGGGTGTGCCCTCCCATCCATCTCTCTCCCAGACTGCTCCCCTGACCTTTCTATTCCCCTGACCTTTCTCCTCCCCCTGCCTATGACTTCACCCTCTCCAAACTGAACTCCTATCAGAATGAACTTTCTGAAGTTCATGGTTGAACCAAGTCACTTTCCTAATTCAAACCTTCTAAGGGTTCCTCCTCTCCCAAGGCAGGTTCCAATTTTCTTTGCATTCAAGGCCTCTTGTGGTCCAGCTCCTGCCCTCACCTCTCATTAACACCCACCTTGCACATTCGGCTTCAACCAAACAAGGAGTTCTTTCTTTCCTACACATACTGTGAGCCTTTGCCCGGATTACCTCTTCCACTTACCTGCCTAGCAAAACCCTTCTCTGCTTTTAGGGCCCGCTGAATCACCTGCTACTGTGCATCTCCTAGGAAGAGCCCACACAGAGTTGGTCAGTAACACCTTCTACCGTGTTACATAACTCCCTGGCATCCAGCATTAACTCTAATAGGTGACCAATTTTTCTCACGGAATGTCTACTTTGCCTCCAAACCATCTGATATCCAAAGCACATAACATTCTCTGTAATCAGTAGCACAGCAGCCAGCAAGACTGGTTCCCGTCCTACTTTAACCTATCCAAGGACATACTTCAGATTCCATTCTTTATACTGCTTCGCTCCCTGGAGCAAGGTCACGGCCTAGCATGAAAGCAAGGTCATGTAGAGAAGTAAACAGTTCCCCACCAACACCACGAACAGGTGCTAATGCAGAGAAGCCCGCCTGCCCTGCCAGCTGCAGAAAGCTGCATGCAAACTTGCCGCTTTCAGGTAGCTGTCTGGGAATCCCCACTGAGATGAGAAGGCCCCGGACTCAGTCACACAGAAGTTTCTGGAAGGATAAAGAAGGGGTTACTTGACCCCCAAGGCAACATAAAATGAGGCCATCTCACAGGAGCTCTGTGCATTCACTCTGAACATAACAGAACCCACCTTCCTTCTCCATTCATGCACAGACTCTGTGGATGTGGGCTGTGTGGGTAACAATTCAAACTGCTAATACAATAAACCCCTCTTTCCTCCTGCAACTATAAAATGCCATTTTTTGCCCCCCTCCCCCATATTTAAAATGAGATGTGGCCCAGCCGGTGTGGCTCAGTTGGTTGAGTGTTGTCCCATGCACAGAAAGGCCACCTGTTCCATTCCTGGTCAGGGCATATGCCTGCGTTTCAGGCTCCATCCCCAGTAGGGGGCATACAAGAGGCAGCAGATTGATGTTTCTATCTCTCCCTCTCCCTTCCTCTCTCTCTAAAAATCAATAAAAATAATTTTAAAAAGTAAATAAAATAAAATGAGATGTAGTAACTCATCACATGGTTTCTGGAATTTTTGAAGTGCCAAGGATACATACCAAACATAGTCTAAAAGACCACGTACTTAGGCTGAAGCATAAACACACTCCAATTTGGTGTGTTACTATTATTCTGCATCAGTGGCTAAAAACACTCATTAAAAATCATGTGGCTTCACACGCAGTGCATTTCAATTATTGCAAATTGCCCACAAACAATAGATGATCTCACTTATAAAATAACATAAAATTAAAAGGTATATTTTATAAACTTATTTGGTGAGGCTCAGCCCCATGACTCCCAGGGAAGCTCCCACAAATTCCAGCATATCCTTACTTCCAATAACTTCCTTGGTTCCTAACAGTAGCATCATCCAGGCTAGATAAACAAAGGAATGAAAGAACCGCAGAATGAGAAAGGATCTAGATCAAAAAGAAATCGTGGCCCTAACTGGTTTGGTTCAGTGGACAGAGCGTCGGCCTGCGAACTCAAGGGTCCCAGGTTCAATTCCGGTCAAGGGCATGTACCTTGGTTGTGGGCACATCCCCAGTAGGAGGTGTGCAGGAGGCAGCTGATCGATGTTTCTCTCTCATCGATGTTTCTAACTCTCTATCCCTCTCCCTTCCTCTCTGAAAAAATCAATAAAATATTTTTTTAAAATCATGAATTATTTAACTAAATACAGCAACATAAGCAGAATCACTAGGGACAATAAAGCTAAATCTGCTTAATATAGTGGACCCCTCCTTCTTTACCAAAGTTAAGGCTTTGCTAGGGCAAACTTCTCATACAGAGCCCAAACACCTAACAGCATCTCCCACCTCTGTCCCACCCATCATCTAAATCAAGACATATAAAAATC